ATTCACCACAAATAGGGTGTCTTCAAACAACAAAAATGTATTCTCTCACAGAGGAAGAAGTGCAAGTTCCAGAGGCCGGGAGTCTGAAATCCAAGTGTCGCAGGGTCCCACTCCCTCCAAACCCTCTCAGGAGAATCCCTGACTCTTCCAGATCCACCTGTCTCCATCTGCAGATGGCCTCCTCCCCTTTCATTTCCTCTATAAAGATGCCAGACTTTACATCCAAGCTTGCCCTAGATCCAGCATGTTTCCTTTCTAGTGCTGACTGACATTTATAAGAAGACCCAATTTACATCAAGGCGGCATTCTGACGTTCTGAGCAGACATGAATGTCGGGGAGACCTTAATCAATCTGGGTCACCTACTACAAGCCGCATGAGTCACAAGCCAGGCTGTCTGGGAACTAGTGCTAGCCAAGGTGGGAGCCTGTATTTAGGACCCATGGAGAAGAGCCTCAGGATGCCAGGCAGGGAACAGAGCGGGCTCACATGCGCCACCTGGTCCTCCCTCCTTACATCTCCAGGAAGGGAAGCCGTCCCTGTCCAAAGGCACCCGGAGGCAAAGCTAGGGACAAAACCTCCTGACTCACAACTCAGTGTTCTTTGTATCACACAATTTAAGTCTTTAGATGGTCTTACCAAGCATAAATCTAAAACCAGAAAATTAGTGACATCTACTTATGCTAATTTCATCAGTCAGAACAGGATGGTTTAGTACATTTTGCCAACTTTCATTTTTAGCTATGTAATTGATATCAATTAACTTTCCAATTAAGAACAAAGTAAAATATGGATATTATTCAATTTAAAGGGAAAATACTTGAACACTTGAAAGTGTGGGAGAGCAAGTGTAGCTGATGTGGTATATGCTGATATCAGAAGGAACAGAGGTTAAGCAAAGGAATACTTCCAGGAACAAAGAAAAATACTTCATATCACAGGTGATGAAAGGGCCAGTTCAAGAAGAATGAATTTTAAGCCAGTTATTTAGCTCAGTGGTTCCACCACCTGCCCTCACAAGCACGAGGTCCTCAGTTTGACTCCCAGTACAAAAAAAAAAAATAAAAAAAAAAAAAAAAAAGAAAAAAAAGAATGAATTTTAAAACCTAAATTTAGAAGCATCTAATACTATATCTTTATATATATATATATCGATTTTTATTTACATATCTTTAAATATAGATTTACATATGCATATCACAGTTAAAGAATTAAAAGGATATATGGGCAAATCCACAATTTTGACTGGAGATTTGTAACAACCTCGGTTTCTCACCAGTAAAGCAAGACGACAGAAACTAAGTAAGGCCACATCGGATGGGAACATTAGGAAACTTGACCTAATTAGTATGTAGGACAGTTTGCTACACTACTACGGACAAGCAAAGCTATTTTTTTCCAGTGTACATGAACTGTTACCCACACTGACCACAGCAATTCCTCACATATCCCAAAGGAGTGAAGTCACTCAGAGTATGTCCTCTGCACACAGTGGAGTTCAGGTAGAAATTAATCCCAAAAATATGCACAACGACAAATCCGCAAATGTTGGATGCTCAGCAAAATACTTCTACATAGCTGTGAGTATAAGAACAACCCACAGTAAAAATTAGTAAGGATGCTGAAATATGAACATACCATGTGGTACAACACAATATAACTAGTGGAATGCAGCGGATGAAGAGTTGGAGGAGCGTTTAGGGCCTGAAATGCATATATTAGAGAAAAAGAAAGGCTGAAAAGTTAATAACTGATGATTTGACATTAAGAAGCCAAGAAGACACTGCAAATATGAAAGGACTAAAAGAGGAAAAAAAATAAATGGCATAAAAATATGCAACATCAACAACTCCCAAATTTCATTTGTTACAAAGACTAATAAACTTCCATTATAACTGATCAAAACAAGGAGGAGATCCTAACCTTTGGGAGGCTGAGGCAGGAGGGCTACTTCGAGTTTGAGGCCAACCTGGGCTATGTATTGAGTTCAAGGCCATCCTGAACTACACAGTGAGACCCTGTCTCAAAACAAACAAAAACAAAAAGCAGGCAGAAGAAATAATCTCAAGAATAGAAAATACCTACAGACATTGAGAATAAAATGAGAGAGACTATATCAAGTTTGGAGTATAGAACATTAAGACTCTCTGTTATTAACACTGAAAATCTATAGGAAATAAAAGAATGTGATATTAGGATAAAGAAAGCAAATAAAAGGAGTAGTGGTGCAGCCCTGTATTCTCAGATACCTGGGAGGCTGAGGCAGGAGAATTGCAAGTTGAACCCCAGTCTATGCAACTTTGCAACTTTGTGATGTACTGTCTCAAAATAAATAAAAATATAGAGGGCTGGTTTCAGTCCCTGGTGAGAGAGAGCAAGAGAGAGAGAAGGAGAGAGAGAGAGGGGGAGAGAGGGAGAGAGAGAGAGGAGAGAGAGAGAGAGAGAGGGAGGGAGAGAGAGAGGGAGAGAGAGAGAGGGAGAGAGAATACTATAACAGAGAACATAGAGGCCAGATACACAAACCCATACATGTAAAATATGTGAGATACAAAAGAAGGCTCGATGCAATGACCTTTTCAGTAAGCAATACTAGGTCAATTGGTAGTCACACTGAGGAAGAAAAAAAAAACCTAAAATTTGACTTCTCCCTCCTACTATGCATTAAAATGAACACTGGATGGGTCAAAGACCTATATTTGTAAGGAAAAATGACATACCACATAGGTAGTAACAAAGCAGATAATCTTCATGACCTTGGCTTGGGCAGAAAATTCTTAAATAGCACTGTAATAACATTAGCTATGAAAGAACAGATTGATGAACTGGGCTTTATGAAAATTAGGAACATTTATTATTTTTTGAGAAAGCAACCCAATTTTTATTATTAACAGGCAAAAGATCTGAACAACCTCCCTCTCTCTCACAAACACACACATAAACACATACAACATCCAAGTTAAAAATGCAGGCAAAGGGAACAGGAGGTGGGAGACAGTGATCTGATCACATTTTTCCTACTTCTCTGAGCAAGAAGGCGGCAGAGTCCATCTCTGAGCAGATCACCCAGCACAGGTGACCCCCCTCCAGAAAGCTCCTGTGTTTAAGAATGGCTTAAATGGGGGGTGATTTAGCTGGGCCGGGGATTTAGCTCAGTGGCTGTGCCACCTGCCTTGCAAGCGCAAGGTCCTGAGTTCAATCCCTGATACCAAAAAAAAAAAAAAAGAACGGCTTTGGGGAATGGTGTCCTTTTCCAAAGGCCTCTACCGGCTCTTCTTGTTCTAAGCCTACATGAGGTAACTGAGCAACTCCGAGCAAGTGAAGAGGAAGTCAAACCCTGCTGGGGGTCCTGGCTCTGCTACTGTTTGTCAGTGTGATGCTGGGTGCCTCACTTAACCTTTCAGAGTCTTGGTATTTCTCATGTAAGATGACGAAGTTAATCCTATTCATTTTAAATGTAGCTGTGAGGATTAAATAACAGATATGAAAATACCTAGTGCAGACGCTAGTACTTGAAATTTTATATGCATAGAGAGACAGACAACTTCCTGAAGCCAGGCGTACTATTTCTAAAACTTACGCCACTTAACTCCAGCTTTCTTTTTCCCTATTTTTTAAAAACAATGGATATATCCTCCCAAAAGATCATAATTTACTGTAGCTGTGTGTGCATAACTAGAATGTATGGAGAGCTTCATATGCGCTATTATTAGAGAGATGGTGAAATCAGATTGAGGGGTGCAGAATCCAACAATGCAAGTGTTCTGGATTTTCTACATCAAATCAGGGAAAATCTTCTTTTAAGGAATTATATTGATAAATATCCCCTGGGGTAGATCAGAGTAAAGGAAGCCATGAAGTTACTTTGAGTCATAAGACAGGACAACACTGAGATGAAAACAGAGTCAGAAAGTAACCGTAGATTTAAATTTCCCCCCCTGGAGTGCATCTTAACAAAGCAGTTTTCTTGACTGAAATTTTCCTCTTCATTTGACTGCCTGGAAAATGGTTACTTAGGATTTGGAATCACACGTTCAGCCCATCAGTGTTTCTACAGCAGGCCCCTGCCGTGCGTCAAGCGCCACGCCAGGCACCAGGGACAGTGTCGTGCGCAGTTCAGCTTCGACCTCACCTCACGGGCTCAGCCTTGGCTTCGGGCCCCTGCATTGCTCCTGCCCTTTTCTCAGGCCATGGGTGCACCAGGCAACCAGGCAACAACCCTTCCCTTCCCGGGGCTGCTGCCCTAGCCAGTGGGTGGGGGGACTGCCAGAGAGGAAGAACCACAGCTCCTCATCTTTTCTTCCCCAGTGCACAAGTTCAATTCTGACACGCAGTGGACACTCCACATGTTGGATAAAAGCATGTTCATGAGACCCAGGTACAGTCAAATCTGTTAAATGGTTCTTTTCATGAATATTAGAGAAATAGCAACAATCACATCCGGGAACATTACATCTTTTCGAGACCATCCTTTGCTTTTGTTATGTAGGTGAAGTGATGTTTGGCTAGCCGTTTACAGTTTAAAATCATGAGGATCTTTGGGAAAAAAATAGAATGAGCTTCCATTTACTTGCCCACAGCTATGCATATAACTGACTTAGTCATTCATGCCAGGGGATTCATTAAATTTTGATAACAATTGACAATATTCATCCAGAGAAAGAAAGTAGTAGAAGAATTCATAGAATTTAACTGCAGCAAAATCAGGGACTCCCCACAAAAGCAGTAACACTGCTTATTTAAACACAGACTGCAGATCTAAAAGCCTCCTCATGATCATAAACGTGTGCCTAATTATATTGGAAAAACACGAAAGCAACTAAACTGCCATCATTTGTGCCAAAAAAGGGAGACACCATTCTTCAGTGATGCTAGGCAGATTCTGGAGGCTTAAGAAACATAAACATAGAGGGAACTTTGGAGGATGGAATCATGGTTGGCTTTTAGTCATTTGCATACAACCCCACAGCGAAGGACTGAGGCCTGAGAACATAAAGTACCTACTTGGTCTGGTGTTTGGATCCTTTCAGGTGGGCATGGTACTGTTCTATAGAGTTTAAGGAGACACTGCAGATGGTACATCTGTAAGTGCGCCTCAGACCTGTGGACAACAGACAGACAGACTGGTTAGCCACTTTCCTCATCAGCAGCCTGCCTGCATTCTAGCACATTCTCCAGGTTAAGGGCAGAGAACAAGGGGCCTTCCGATGCACCCCACCAACCACACGTCACCCAGCTTCCGGACCCCTGCCAGTGAGACCCCCAGCAGAAACGTGAGCTGCATGAGAGGGGAGCAGCCTGCTCCATTTACCATGTCTGAAATTATGAGATCATTTGGTGTTGAATCAAAGCTAAGTGTTTGTGGATATTTTATAACTCAAAGAAGCTTTACTACCTTTTCCCTAAGGCACACAGACTTAGCTGGCTGTCACCTCTACATTGAAATTTGGAACATCTATTCTGATTCCTCTCCCGCCTCCTCCCACAGCAGAATTGGAGGCACAACTTTAGACATTATTTATATAGGGGCTTCTTCTAGGATTATCTTATATGGTGTAAACACAAGGAGAAGGGTAAGACATCAGTATGTTTCATATGAAGTCTTACTCTCTGTCAGAGACTTTAAAAGAATAGCCATACATTCACCTAGTTTTTCATTTCATTAATTCATTAAGATAGTATAACTCAGAACCAACACAGGGAATCCAAGACGACTAAGATGCTCTGTGCTCCTCAGGAGCTGAGTAAAAATCTGGAGCCTTTCACATTATTGACCGATCTACAGACAGACATGTGTAACGAAGCAGCTTTGACCAAATAACTTCAAACATTTTTCACAGCGCAGAGACACACAGAGGAACATAGCTCTTCAGCCAGGATGCTCCTTCCTCTTACAGAGAAAAGAAAGGCCAGTCACCATCTTAAACGTTGGCTTTATTACTCAGATCCATCATCCTGGCTGTACGACCCAGAGAAAGTCACATCACCTCTGCTGGCTCCCCGTTTCCTCATCTACAAGACCAAGACATGCTTACACGTACCACAACTTTGCTGCAGTAACAGAGAGAATAAGATCTATGAACATGTCTGCCAAGTGAGAGTGGCTGTTACTAGTTTTGCCAAGAAATTCTAGTCTCACCATTGTAAAAGCCAGGATATCAAATAGCGGTCGCATCTCTTTCTAATGAGTATGTAGTGTTTTCCTTCCTTGAGGAAAATTATCTGTTTTTCTAAGAAGGAAATAATGTACACTGGTTGGAAGAGCTTTGCAACTTGCTACGTGGATAACTTTAGACAAATTATTGGACTTTTATAGGCTTTGTTTTCCTTATAGTGCTTCGTGATGGTGGCTGGGTGAAATATGACATCTGTGAGAGTCTCCTGTTGAACGCCAGGCCTCTCTCAGTGTGCTGAACTCTGCCGCCACCTGCAAGACCCAAAGGCCCAGAGACTGTGGCTTGTGAGAACTTCTGACAGCAAAGGACACGATGTAGCAGAGTTCTCAGAGCTTGTCAGAACAACGAGACGTAAGAGTTCTCCCTAGACTGCATATATCAAGCATGAGAGCTGCTGATTTGGTGATGTCTCAGGTACTACCCAAGGGGGCCAACTGAAGTTGAGACAAAGAAATCCCAGAGGATGTCACAGTGAATCCCACCCAGAGATACAGCTAATATGAGTTAATATTTTAATAAAAAGAAACCTCTGTATCCAGATGCTGGCAGTACTCAGTTGGGCATCTTTAAGCACCTCAGATGAGATTCTTAGCCTATACTAAGCGATTGCAAGTCTCCAGCAAAAACACCAAAGTACAAGGTTGGGGGTGGGGGGGGCAGAGGGTCAGGTTGCAACCTCTGCCCACGCAGCAGTGGCCATGCTAGCTCTGTGCAGTAACTTTCATGTGAATTCTCATTTCCCAAAGCTTTCTAACCTTCCACCTCGCATCCCTCAGCCCTGGAGGAACCAGAAGCAACTTAGAGTAAAAGTAAGAAGAGCAAAGGTCCCAGAAGACGAGCACAGCTCCAGACAGAGTAAAGGAGAGAAATCTACCACCATCTCCTTCCCATGGCAAGCAAGCATCCCCAATAAAAACTGTGCTGGACCAGACAGCGACAAATGTTTGAAAATTTGGGCGATATTTTAAATAGATTGCTCTAACTTGGATACATTAGTGGAGGAAATGGAGACTTTTTGCTGTCTATGAATGAGTAAACGACTTTACTACTTGAAAGTGAAAATTCATGACACACGTGACTTTTATCCCAGGGGTAGGAAAATATGAGCTCCACGGACTCCATTTCAGTGAAGCAAGGAGGACAAGAAAAGCTTCCTTTGTTAAGCCCAATGGGTCCTGCTTATGGAATGTTACAGTGTAACCAAACTTGCTTTTATGTCCTCATCATGAGCAAAAACAGAGCTTCCTGGAGACTCTCACACTGTGATGGCCTGATTCACATTTCAGAGAAGCCTACTGAAACAGCACACGGAAGCAGGGCTGTCAGTATGAGGAGGAACACTTTCGGTTTTGTTTAAACCACATACGTGGATACTGACATGCCTAGTTTCCATAAGAGTCCATCTAACAGAATGGGGGGGCACATTTACTTAACAGGAGTGAGGACTAGAGTTTCATTCCAATGTGTGTGCGCGCACACGCACACACGCACACACGGACACATACACACACACACACACACACACGATAAATTTAATAATGGAAGTAAAAAGAAGCAACAATGAAATTGCAACTTCCCAGGCACAGTTTACCAGTTCAAATGTGAAGCCAAAAATTATTGAATCTCTGTATTCACTTGAGGAATTACTGAGCCTTCAGGCTTTAGCGAGTAGATGGACCTCCAGCAACCACGCGGTCATGCAGATGCCCAGGCTGGCCTCGTGGAGGTTCTGATTCTGTGGATTTGGCATGGAGCCTGGAAATGGAGACATTTCAGACCATAACCCCACCCCCATGAAATGCCCACGCTCTAAAAAGTACTCTCCTTCATAATCAACCAATGTCCTCCGGGAGAACTGGAACATGTCAGAAGAATACTTAGTCTTAAAAATGAAAAAAATAAAAGATAAAAAGGATGAGAGCTATTCCATAAGGAAAAACCTGTGCCTGCATTGCCTTTCTGTTTCACAGGTGTGCATGATTCAGAGAGATCACCATGGTCCCCACATCCAGAGGCTGTAAGTTATCACAGCCAACACGGAGGTGGGAGTTGTCTGGATGCCTACGCAGGGCTGATCCTTTCTGCTCTTTTATGCATGAATCAAAATATGAAAACCAGCTTTAGGCATTACTCTCTCCAGAGTTCTCCATCAATCTTGTCATAATAAACGGTAAATACTGTTTATAGGAGTCCGCTTCAGACTACAGAATAACAGAAGATCTCTTTATAACAAATGGAGGTTAAGTTTGACAATACGCATACATATTTATGTTTAAAAAGGAGCACTTTTAAGAACACCAACAAATCTTAAAAATATTCTGATCTGTTGTTTTTCTGTAATGGTTCTCCTGCTCTGCAGCCAGGCGTGGGTAGAAAATACTTGGCAGTTGATTGTGATGCAAACTACAGGATCATAAACTAGAAAGACCATGATGTAAACAAGAAAAAAGGCAGAGAAGAGGCAGGGGATACCTCCCCTCACAAGACACAGTGTTCTTGATGGAAACTTGGTGGATCATTAATGCTCAGTTGAAATCCTAATTAGTTTGGAATTATATGGCTCCCTTTTCCTTAGGGAACTAGAGAATCTTATTATTAAGCCTAAAAGGCTAATTTTCTTATTCTGTTCATTTTTAGCACAATAACATATTGAAGGTATCCTAAGACCTTTTCAGGTTTAAAGGTTATTTCTGCAAAATTGCCAAATATGCAGAATTGCCCTGTCTGTAAGGAGCTGGCAGACAGATCAGATGAAGAGAGAAAACATGGCCAGAAGCAGAAAGTACACAGGGAACCACAGCAGGGACCATGGTAAAGGGAAGGAGACCTTGCAGGAACAAGCAGTAGAGGCTAAGCTAGCTCAGGAGATCCAGAAAAGCTTCTCGATGATGCACTGCTTTTGTATTTATATTTCCTAGGACAGCATTTAGAAAACAGATGGTTCTGGAGAGTTTACCAGAATGCAACTACTCAAAGTGTCTTGTCAAGTCTAGCAAAGCTAGAAGTCCCTATGGTTTCAGTCGCCTACATTCTACACTAGGGAGTCATTATTGAGCTTTTATTATGGTGCCAGGTATTTTGCTGAATGCTAAAGACATAGGCAAGATCAAGACAGAGCACATTTTCTTATGGAGCTGGACAAAGAGAAAGACAAGAAACAATAAACAAAGGCTGAGAAAGTGTTGTGCCAGAAGTGAGAAGGATAATGAGAGAGGAAACAAGAAGAGGAGTGGTCTTCTTTGGCCAACAGAGTTTTCTGGAGTGTCTAAAATAAAATAAAAGATGATAATTGGCATGTGACATGGAGGTCTGGGGGGAAAGTGTTCTCAAGGGGATGAATGGCAAGCACATAGGGTTAGAGGTGGAGATGAGACTGGTGCATTCAAGGCATAAGAGGTGGTGGGCAAAGAAAAATGTAATACAAGTTTTAAAAAAGCCTCGTCCACCTGGAATTCTACATCCAGCACAAACATCACGCAAAAGTGAAAGTAGACCAAGAACATTCCCCAGCCAAAGAAAATAAGTCTGCCAGCAGCTTATACTACAGAAGTGCTGTACAAAGTTCTACAGAGTGAAAAAACAAAGAACCAGTTGTAAATTCAGATCTGCAGAAAAGATCAAGAACACCAGAGATGACTGATATACGGAATGAATCTTTTAAATTTTCTCTTAATTTATTTGAAGACTGCATGTAAAACAAAATTATAACACTGTATTGTGTATTACATTGTTTATAATGTATATATATATGTAACATATACAATAACAAAAACAGAAGAATGAGATTTAGTAGAACAAGACTACTGAGAAATCATTATATTTTACATGAAATGAAACAATGGTAATTCCAAATAGTGATAATTTAAGGATGCTGATAATTCAGTATAATCCCTTAGAATAACTACTAAACAAATACAATGATAAA